TTCAGTGTGTGAAAGTTGATGTTTCCAGGAAAAAGAAAAGTATTGTCTGTAACCTTGAAATACTGGGAACAAAATAGCTATAAACTATTATAAATAAATAAATAAACTAATAGCTTCTTTGCTGACTGTCTCTAATCTTGGCTTTTCAACCCTGTTCCCCACATTACTGCCAGGACTCTTTCTAATACCATGTGTATGAATCTTCAAGAAAATTATGCAGAGTTAAAAAGAGGAGCTAATCTCAAAATGTTTTATACTATATAATCTCATTTGCAGGATAATTTTGAAATGGCAAAATCTTAGAATTAGAGAATGGATGAGTAATTCTAGGATTGGAAGTGTTAAAAGAAGGTTATTGTTATTAAAGGACGTTATGAAGGGTTCTGTGGTGTAGGAGATGTTCAGTATCTTGACTGTGAATCACTACCGTGAACATGAACCATTTACGAGCAGGTTGAAAATGCAATCCAACTTAATAAACACACAGACATACATAAACTAGAGAAATCTGAGTAAGGTGGATGGATTATTTCAATGTCAGTATCTTGCTTGTGATAGTATGTTGTTATGTTATATGTCATCAAATTCACTGAGATTCATAGTGACCCTATTAACCTGGCCCTATCCTGTGCTATCCTCACCATCTCTATTATACTTGAGCCCATTAGCAGTCACTGTGTCAGTCCATCTTGTCACAAATCTTCCTCTCCTTCACTGACCTTTCCAAGCATAAGGTCTTTCTCAAAGGTCTAGTCGCTCCTAACAACATGCCCAAAGTATATGATATCTTCACTGCCCTTACTCTGAGGAGTCACCTGGCTTCACTTCCTCCAAGACAGACTTGTTTGTTCTTTTGGCAGTCCTTGGAATATTCAGTGCTCTTCTCCAACTCTACAACTCAAAGTAATCAGTTCTCCTTCTGACATCCTTAATCATTGTTAAATTTTCAGATGCATAGCAAGTAATTGGAAAGACCATGATTTGGATCAGGCTCATGTTAAGCACTTTGGAAAGGTCCCTGACAGCAAATTTTCCCAGTGTAATATGTCTTGGTAGCATCAGGATGGATGGCGAAGAGATTGAGATTGTTCACAGTTTCAGTTTGCTCGGCTCCACAGTCAACACTCTTGGCACCAGCATCCAGGAAATAAAAAAATATATTGCGATGGGAAAGTCTGCTGTTAGGGACCTCTCTAAAGTACTCAAGAGCAACGATGTCTCTCTGGAGACTAAGGTACACCTGATACAGGCCATGGTCTTTGCAGTCACTTGTTATGCATCAGAGAGCTGGACTATAACTAGGGAGGATAGAAGGAGAATTGACGCCTTTGAGCTGTGGTGTTGGAGAAGAGTATTGAATGTACCCTGGACTGCCAAGAAAACAAACAGATTCATCCTAGAGAGGGTTAAACCAGGCTACTCCTTGGAGGCAAGGATTCTGGGGCTTTGTCTGACATACTTTGGACATGTAAGGAGAGACAGGTCCTTGGAGAGGGACATCATGCTTGGGAGGGTGGAGGGACAGCGCAGGAGAGGAAGACCCTCTATGAGGTGGATTGATTCAGTGAGTGAGGTAATCGGGATGGGTGTGTCAGAGGCACTGCGATTGGCACAGGATAGGACAGGGTTTAGGGCTGTTGTACATAGGGTCGCTATGAGTTGCAAACAACCCAACAGCACATAACAACAACAACAATATGTCTTTTGATTTCCTGACTGCTGGTGTCAAGGATGTTGATTGTGGATCCAATTAAAATCAAATCATTGACAACATCATTCGTTTCTCTATCTGTCGTGATGTTGCCTATCGACCCAGTGGTGAGGATTTCTGTTTTCTTGATGTTACAGTGTAATCCATATTAAAGGCTGCAGTCTGATCTTCTACAGCAAATGCTTCCAGTCCTCACTTTCAGAAAGCAGGATTGTGTCATCTGCCTAAAATAGGCTGTTGACAAGTCTTCATCTGATCCTGATGCCATAGTATTCATAAAACTTGGCTTCTCATGTAATTTGTTCAGCATACAGTTTGGATAGGTCTGGAGAAAGGTTATAACTCTGATGCACCCCCTTCCTGATTTTAAAATGTTCAGTATTTATTTGCTCTATTTGTACAACAGCTTCTTGGTCTAGGTATAGATTTATACTGAACACAATTAAGTGTTCTGAAATTCCCACTCTTCTCAGTGTTAGCCATAATACGCTATGATCCACACAGCCAAATGCCTCTGCATAGTCATTAAAAAGCAGATAGCCTCCTTCTGGTGTTCTCTGCTTCCCTCCAAGATTGTCCAACATCATTGATGAATGATATCCCTGGTCCATGGCCTCTTCTAAATCCAGTTTCTATTTCTGGCAATTCTCTGTTCATGTACTGGTCTAATTGGTTTTTAAATAATCTTCAAAATGATTTCTCTTACATGTGATATTAATGATACTGTTTGATAATTTCCATATTCTGTTGGATCACCTTTTAAAAAAAATTAGGAATAATTATGGATCTCTTCCAGTCAGTTGGCCAGGTTGCAATATTCCAGATTTCCTGGCTTAGCCTGGTAAGCATGTCCTGGTCTGCATCTGTTTACTGGAACTTGTCACTTGGTGTTTTTCTGGGGCCTTATTTTTGTCAGTGCTTTCAGTGCAACTTCTACTTCTTCCCTTCCTTTGTCACCAGTGGTTCTTATTCATATACTACTCCCTGAAATAGTTCCAGGTCAGCCAATTCTTTCTGATGCAGCAGCTATGTATTTCTTTCTTCTTCTTTTGATGCTTCCTGGATCATTAAGAATTTTGCCCACCCTTCTGTATTGCAATTCAAGGCTTGAATTTGTTCCTCAATTTTTTCTGTTTATGAAATGTTGAACAAGGTCTTCTCTTATTTTTATTTTCATATTCCAGCCTTTTGCACATTTCATTATAGTACTTTGCTTTGTCTTCTTGAGCTGCCCTGTGAAATCTTCTGTTCAACTCTTGTTTGGCCATCTATTCTCTTTGTTTTGGCTCCTTGTCAAACTAGTATAGCATGTTGTTGTTGTTGTTATGTGCCGTCGAGTCGCCTGCGACTCATAGCGACCCTATGTACGACAGCCCTAAACTCCGCTCTGTCCTGCGCCATTCGCACTGTCTCTGATACTCCCATCCCAATTATCCCAGTCACTGAATCAATCCACCTCCCATTTATGGAAATTGGGAATTTGTCTGCATTATTTCTTAAAACTGTATAGAAATTTATAATCATCAATTGAAAAAGTCAAAATAAGCAGAAGTTTGTAATTACGATGGAGCAAGAGCAGATAACAGCGCTATTCTCAGTCATGTTTCCTGAGTTCCTCTTGCTACTTGATCAAGCCTCTTTCCTCCACTTCCTGCTTCCGAATTTCCCTTAACCCTAAGGTTATACACCATTGCTGTAAAAAAACCCCTAGTTTTTAATAATTTATTGTCTTCCACAGGCTCTTTTTGGATCAGGCTATAGCTCCCCTTCATTTCCTCACATGGATCTGGATGTGAATGTGAGTGAGAGATAATTTGAGATAGTAGAAAGAGCCTGGAGTGAGGCAGACCTGCCTTTAATTTGAGTTCTACCAGTTATTTAGCTATGAGACCTTGGGCTTTGTCACTCTGTGCTTGAATTTCACATCTGAATAAAATGGACAAAAAGAATGTCTCCTCAGACCTGTTCTGAAATGACATATATAAAACATCTAACAGTGCCAAATCCAGTAGACATTTAATACCTATTTCCTTTTGTCTTATTGCATGTGTTTTTTGGGATTTATATGTGTGTTTGTGTGTATTTATATTTGTGCCTACATGTCTTTTTTGTGTGTCTATTTTGGTGTGTAGAAGAGATGAAATGTAGGATTTCAAGGTAGAGATGAAAATATGATTTGTCTACTTGTGTAGTTAAACAGACTTATCTGGAGATGCAAATGAGGTAACTTGAATGGTAGTAACTAAAATGCCATTACCTCCTGTCCTACCATGTAGTTTAGGAGCTTAAGTCCCACTCTCAGGCATTCTGGGAATCCTCAGAGGGTTTGGTTTAAGATGAGATGTATCCATCCCTCTCTGATGTATCCACTTTATGAAGTCACCTTAGAGAACATCAAGACAGATTAAGAATGGTCCTTAATGGTGACAATGGTGTGGTCTATGTCAAGTGCTCTGTCTCCTGCGAGTCCCCTGGTTTCCATTCTTTGGGATAGGATGGCAAACATAGGAGTCTTCCCTGAGCTAAAGTTGTGCCATGATCTAACTATAGAACGTCCCTTCTCAATCCCTTCAAGCCTTGCCCAACCTGCCACTTGCTGTGAGCACTACCAATTGTTTCTCCCTCCTACCAGCTTGTGTATGTGTGCAGTCTTTCTCCACAGTGAGGGTTCAGGGACTACAGCTGGAGTCACTTACCCAAATCCTCTCTCTCTATGCTCTTGACTTCATCAGTGTCAGATACACACATAAAACTTCTTTACTTCTCCCCACCCTTCTATGTAAACAGGTCTCTCTGACCCAGCTCCATCTAAAGTTTAACCAGTTTAATTTTGTTTGTTATTTACGGTCAAATCAGAACCTACTCACAGTTGACTCAGCAGGTTTTCAGAGTGAGTAAATTGCCTTGGAGGAGGAGCTGGTGGAGTCAAACCATGTATCTTTGTATTGGCAGCACAGTTCCTTTTGACTAAGCCACTAGAGCTCCCTAATGTGTAACAGTAGGGACAGTTATGGCTCTAGTTGCAATACAATGCCCACATCTAAATGTTAAACAGCCAAGGAAGGACAACAGGTACAGAAAACTGTGATGTGAGTGTGACTTGAGAGAAAGGCCAGCTAAGGAAAGAATCCTATATTCTGTTCCCTTCCCAAAGGGTCCTCTCTTGAGCACTACAGAAATTATTAAGTTGATTAGCCTCCCTGATTGGATCTCTGCCTCCACTAATTCCTGGAGAGAATGGCGTTTTCTTCCTGCCCTTTCTTTTTACCCAAGATCTTTGCACTCACAGGGAAACATCTGTAATGACGCTGACAAGCAAGAAGTACACCCTGAGGTTCCCAGCGCTGGAGACACTGATGCTGGATGACAACAAACTTTCCAGCCCCAATTGCTTTGCCAGCCTGGCTGGGCTCAGGAGGTAAAACCACATGCCCCTCTCTGCAGTGCGCTTTCTAAACCCAGCCTCACTCCTACCCTGAGCACTGCTCTGGAAGCCAGAAAGCCTGGTTCAAACCAGCTCCACCACTCATCCTTGCTGTGTAGCTATAGGCAAGTCACTTCTCCCCTCTGAGCTTTAACTCATCTAGAAAAGGACAGGCATGATCATGTGGCTGGGTTAGATACTACAGAGAGAGGAGGGTAGGCAGAGGGACAGCTGGGGTCAAGATCTTGACCCTGAGAGGGGAGATGGGGGGGAAGGTGAGAATATGAAAGAAATGGACCTGCTGTCTGTATGAGGAAGTATTAGTTCAATGGTGATTAATTTTTTAAATAAAATTCTTATTTTATACTGGTTCACTTACAAAGTTTCACACAAGATCTTTCCCATTTCCTTTACCCACCTCTCCCTCCACCCATCAAATTGTGTGACCCTATGACTAACAAGCCCCCCCACCCCTTTACCACCCTCCTTCCCTCTCCCCCCTTGGATCCTCATACATGTTCTACAACAATGGTCTTATACAGTATTTGTTCTTATGGGACTGAGTTCATTTAGCATAATGCTCTCCAGTCCCTCCCAAGTTAGATAGTGATTTACAAAATCATTGCTCCTGTGTGCTGCATAGTATTCCATCATGTGAATATACCATAATTTCTCAATCCATTCCCTTGTGTTTGGACATTAGACTGTTTCCATGTTCTTGTGATGGTGAATAACACTGCTATGAACACTGGTGTACAAGTCTCCATTTGTGCCTCAGTTCTCATTTTCTTGGGGTGTATTCAAGCAGTGGAAGAGCTATGTCATGTGGGATTTCTAGGTTCAGCTTTTTGAGGAAATGGCCAAACTGCCTTTCAAAGTGGTTGTATCATTTTACAATCCTAATGGTGATTAATCTTATAAAACATGATGAATGGGAATGATTGCATGAAACACAATATGAATGAATGGTAGTGTGAAAAACAATGATATGAACCTTGTAAACAAACCAATATAAAATATTAAAAAACTCCACCATTTTAAAAAGCCCTGTTTGGTTGGAGTAAAGAGAATGAGGCATTTAAATAGTTAAATTTTAGATCCCTAGAAAGACTACTTTGGATGCAGCTATCATATACTAAACACTACTTTTTGCCAGGCTATGTACATATATGATCTCATTTAGTCTTGAGAAGAACCCTGAGAAATTATTATTATTATTATTATTATTATTATTACTACTTATTATTATCCCCATGTTAGGGATAGGAATATTGAGGCCCAGAGAGGATAAATCACTGACTCCGGGTCATTAAGAAGATAACTGTCCAAGCCTGATTCCATGTTCTTTCCCCAAAGTTGCTGAGATGTCATTATTGCTGTGATTCTGTATTTGCTTTCCTCAACTGAAGACTGAAGAAGTTAAGCCTGGATCAAAACAGGATTTTCCGGATTCCATACCTACAGCAGGTTCACCTCCGTGATGGATCTGGAGACTGGGTTGGAGGTGAGGGAAGACCCCAGAAGGAGCACCAATCAATGCTGCGGCCCAAGCTGTGGGTGTATGAGGACTCAGATGAGCAACCAGATTATACTGTGCTGCCCATGAGAAAGGATGTGGACCGGACAGGTGTGTGAGGCCTCCTGTTCTAGGGGCCTTAGTTCTATGGAGGGCGGGGACAAATTACTTAGACTTTATTTTAAAAATATGTGGCTCCCTAGAGAACGGCTAGATTTAAGATATTGGGCCTAGGATAGGAAGGTCTAGGTCTCACATGAACTATTTCAATGACTCCCTAACTTGTTCTGTCTGTTAAGATGTTTTTTTAAAAAATTTTCTTTTCCAAATGAGAAGAAACTCAGACACTTCCCAGGGTGGGACTCATGTTCCCACTGCCCTCTTCTCTGAGCTTCCTTAGCTTTTTGTCCTTTTAGGCCAAGTCCCACTGAAGTCTCAAGGTGGCTATTATAGTTCCAAGAATCAAATCCAAATGGCAACCTTCAGAAGCAGGAAAAGAAATGTCACTTTTATTATAAACAAAACACCCTAGTGACTTAGTAAGGAATTGCCCTGCCAGCCCACAGGCAAGCAATGTGAATCCACCAGCATATGTGGAAATACAGTAAAACAGAACATCAATACAGAGAAGCAGAAGAGAGAGGAATGGGGAGAGAGCTGGAGATAGCAAGGGAGAGCAGCCCCATGGGAAAAAGATGGGCAGTCTTCTCCATATGATTTACAGCTTCTGAAAACCCATTAGGGATTCAGCTGAGTCAATTCTGACTTGATAGCAATGAGTTTGAGTTGTGAGTTTTGTTCCATTGTTCTAGTGCCACCATACCACTGTTTTCTTTTTTACGTGTCCTTTAAGTTGAAGAATAATTTACTGGGAATAAAGTACAGAAATCTGCGAGCTTTAATTTCACACCACACTTTCACCATGACCCATATCCCATTACTGAACATTGGTACCCTACTAATTAGTAAATACACGATTCTGACCTCTATTGTCATAGACAATATTTGCCTGATTTGAGATTCATGAGTATAGAATTACACAGTATGAATTTATTTCACCCAACATTCTATCAGTAAGACTTATTCTGTTGTTCATATGTCAGTTGTTCATTATTTTTCATTGTTTTCACTTATATGATACTTTTTTACCTTTTTTCTACTGAAAGACATTTTGCAATTTCTCATTTCCAGCTAGGGAGCTCTGGTAGTTCTGTGGTAAGGAATAGCAAACAACAACAACATAGATAAAGCTGCTCCGAAGATTCTTTGCATGTTTTTTGGTGGATACACTCACTCATTCTTATTAAGTATTTGGGAATGAAATTGTTGGATTAATATATTAAGAGATTTATATTGGTTAAATACTCTGTATTAAAATGTGAGTAATAAATCTTCCTTTATATTCAATATAGTCTTTTCAAAATCCTGTAAGATTACAAAAGTTTTGGATGTATCCTCAGCTAAATTTTCCCTTCCATTTTATGAATTAGCTGTTCTGCTGAGTCTGTTCTTCTGTAGAGCATACCTTTTAAAAAGGTATCTTTTAAAAATGAACAATCTCCTGTGCAATCTACAGTCTTGGAAACCCAGGTCAGCTATGAGTTGATTCCAGCTCAACCACAATGGGTCAAATCATATTTTAAATTTACAAAATTGTTAATAAGTTCTCTTCCATAGCAACCTGCTTTTCTTTCAGAAATAGAATAGTCTTCTGAATTCCTCAGGAAATCCTAAATACTCCATTTTTAAGTTTTATTCTATTTTCCAAATAAACCCTATTGTGTTTCTTTCAGATGTTAGTTCTTTTATATATGTTTTTTTGTGAAAATAAAAACAATTCATTCTCCTCAAATATCAGCAGAATCTTGGTTGTCTCTTTATCTTTTTGTTTAAGAATCCCTAATCAGACCTTAGAATGAAAGTTCCACTTTCTTGAATTTGCTTCCTGTTGTGGGGAGGCTGGGAGTGGGGCATTGTGTTTAGGGACAGTGTTTCTGTGTCTCCAGGGAGTCTCCTTAGCACCCACACTTGCACCCACAGCCATCTCTCTGTGAATTCCTACTTCATTCATTGATCAAACCTTTCCTACACGCCTTCCAGAACCACATCATAGGTGAGTTACTTCTATTATGTGTTTTTTCCTCTGTTATTTTCCCCCCTTTATTTTCATATGATATTTATAATTCATGCCATCATGAACACGTAGAAAGGCTCCCTATTTCCAGGGCTTTGCTTTATTCTGTTGAGATCAGCTGTTTATTGTCTCATTTTACTCTTATAATCTCAAGAGGCTGAATCCTGCTGTTCTGCTGTGCTACTTGCTCGTGGTGGTGGTGGTTGTTGTTGTTGTTGTTGTTAGGGGCCATAAAGTCAACTACAACTCAGCAGCCCCTGAACAACAAGTCTGAACTCTTCCCTGTCCTGTACAATCATACCATCTCTGATATGCTTGAGCCCATTGTTACTCTGTCAGTTCATCTTGCTTGGGGTTTCCCTTTCATTCTCTTATTCCTCACCTTTCCAAGCATGATGTTATTTTTTTGAAGGACTAACCCCTCCTGACAATATGCCCAAAGTATGTGAGACAAAGTGTCACCACACTTGTCTCCAGGGAGCAGCACCCCAGCTACACTTCCTCCAAGGCAGACTCGTTTGTTCTTTCAGCAGTCCATGGGATGGATATTCAGTGCTCTTCTCTAACATCACAACTCAAAGGCTTCAATTCTTTTTCTGTAATCTTTATTCACTGTCCCACTTTCAGATGCATAGGGAGCATAGGATGGCTCTTGCTAGTTCTCCCGAATTCACTGTCTTCACACTGTTGTCAACTGGGACAAAGAAATACTGAATGAGGGCACCAAGGATGGAGAAAAAACAGAGTGTAAAGGCAGGGGGCAAACAGCTTGAAGACTGAAGCCCAGAACCAAGTGTCTCTGTAACCTTTATTGAGGATTTCCAGGAAATAAATCACCAAGAGAATTCTTTTGAAGCTAAGTTTTTCTCTATTGTCAACCTTATGCTTATCTCAGGAAGGAAGTGGTTCACAAATAAAACTCTTAGTCCCTCTGCAGGAGAGCGCTGGTGGTTTGTTGTCTGCAGGAAGCAAAAACCCTTAGCACTCTTTCTGCAAGAGGGCCCTGGAAGCTTTTTATCAGCAAAAAGCATCTCTGTCACAAGCATGATCACAAGCAAAAAGCATGATCTGTCACAAGAGGAATTCCAGCTTGTATTTGTGCTTCCTTCAATTCCTTATTAAGCATTTGGCTTAACATTTAGTTTAACATTTGGCTTCCCACATCACACATTCTGTAATAATAAAACAAGTAGTGTTTTCATATTCTCTCACAGAATATATTTTATAGACATTTCTCTCTTCTAAGACAATTCATTTCCATTCTGATCAATACTGCCCACTGAATAGTTCTGAGGCTAGAAAAAGTTTTCATGTTATAAAGTCAGGCAGAGATTGGTGTGGCTCGAATATAGTAAGAGAAAAAGAGGGTGGTATGAGGTGAATTAGAGAAGTAAACTCAAGTCAGGTTATGCAAAGCCTCATGCTTGGGAAAAGAGTTGGGATTTTATTCCAAGAATAGAGGGATTTATTACTGACATGCCAGCTCCTCTCCCACATTGCACTGGAGCTGGGAGGTCAGAACGAGACCTGCCTACAGACTGATCCAGACCTCAGCCTCTATGAGGGGGCTGTTGGCACTTTTCTTAACCTCTGTTCTTGTTTCTTTTTTATTTCAGAGGTTGTGTTCTCATCTCGCCCTGGATTTTCAACCTCACAGGTAGGAAGTATTTCCTACTTCATGTATGTGCTCTTGAGTTGAATATTAATGTTAATAAACAAATATAAATAAACTCATTGGAGCCCTGAGGTAGATAACACTGGGGAAGGCCATTCATTGGACAGATATTTCTGAGCAACTTCCATCAGCCAGGCACTGTGTGGCCATTGGAGATGCTGTAAACTTGGCAGCCATGCCCCTGCCCTCGCACAGCCCACAGGCTGCTTTCAGGTGCTGTTGAGTAATAATGGTTTCACTTGCAGTGATAAGACTGGTATGGAAGTGGGGTAATCACCAGGTTCCTGACAGGAGCCCTCAAAAGCTGCAGCATGCAAGGTACACTATCATGAAGGACTTAACAGTTTATGATGTTTCAAGCTTAGATAAAGAACTTTTACTTTTGGGTGCTTAAGAAAGATGCTCTCTAAGGTTGTAGAGACTGATATATATATGCTAAATACTGATTTATCCATTTATAGTAATTAGTATAACTGTACATTTTGCCAATCTGCATTCTTGAGAAGTAGCTCAGTCCATCCCCTCCCACAAATGTAACTGTGCAAGAAATTGTATCAGTTAGCTACTGCTACATAACAAATCAACTTAATACTTACTTTAAAGAATAGGAATTTAGTATTTCTCAATTATTTGGGCTGAGTAGATGATCCTCAAGACTTAGTCAAGCACTTGCCTTCATCTGGCACATTTTGGGCATATGGGGTGGGGGAGAACGGTTCACATGGCATGCCTTAGTATCTCCCTCTATGTAATCTTTCCAATTTGGATTTCTTTATAGTAGGGTGGCTTCATGGTTCCAAGAGAACAAGGGAGAATTATAAGATTCTGACACTCATTGTTACTCCTGCCACATTCTGTTAGTCAAAGCAAGCTGTAAGTGCAGCTTTAAGGGGGCAGAGAGTGAGGTCACTCTGCAGAATGTCACACCTACTGGCATGGAAAGAATATGTGGCCATTAAACAGGTCTATCACAGGAATCAAAGCTAATTGGTAAGCTGCTCAGAGCTCAAATCAGTGCTGTCTTTAAATCTGAGAACCTGAGGAGTTAGGTGGATGGTTGAGACTTTGGTGGCTTCTCTGAACGTCACATGCACCATCTTAAATACCCTCTTTCTACCTTCAGTAGGCCCAGCCTGTTTTCAGGTCAGGCACTTATGCTTCCTAGTTAGTGCTAGACACACGCCAAAGTGATCCTCTGGCTTTCTTTTTTTCTGTTCTCCAGTCTGACTCACCCCTTCAGCTTGCACAGCTTTGCTGCAGGTGGGGAATTGCACAGTGGAGACTGCCTTACCAGGTCACCACAATTCACTCAGACCTCTCAGAGATTGTATTCAGAGCACCTGGAGAGGAGAACCATATAATCACAGCTCCATAGCTGACCTGTCCCACAGATGTTACTTCAGTAGTTGAACTCTGGGAGAGTATAAAATACTTGATCCATATTGGTGCTATGCAAATGTTCCTTGATTGAATAAATTACATTTAAGCTACTTTCTCCAGTTCATCCAATAATTATTAGAGCTAGGAACAGAATATAGTTCCTCTGAAGCCAATCGTTAGATTAATAGCTACCCTGTAATTTCCTTTGGTCCCAGCTAAACTTGAGAAATTGGTGAGTAAATTGGGCTTGAGCAAGTCAGAAATGGCCAGGATGGCACAGAATATGGTGGGGTTCAGATCCTTTGTTCAAAGGGCTGCTGTGAGTTATACTTGATTCAAAGATGCTTAACAAATTGAGGTGAGGCATGTCTAACCAAGCAGTTTTCATTTTCTCCATGATCAGACATGTTGACTCTAAGGCAGAAGAACTGTGCAGAGAGGGACTTTTATACCACAACTGACTAGATGTACTGTAGCATTTCCAAGCCCCAAGGCCTGGCTCACTTCATTCAGGATTTAGCTGTTGATGAGCCTCCATTGTAGGATGTGAGCTAGCCCATCAGAAAGGGCTCTCTCTACCAGGAAAATTTCCTTTCCCTTCTTCAGTAGGAGGGAAAGCACGTATCCATTGCTTTCTGAAAAAATTTTGGCCCAACTGTGTTGTTGTTGCTGTTGTTAGATGACATCAAGCCAATGACTCATCAAGACAACTCATTGTGAGTCTGATCCTGTGAACAGACAGATTTGAACCCTGCCTATCCTGTGCCATCCTCATCCTTTCAGAAATACTTGAGCTCAGTATTACATGGTTACATTCTCTGTGTTAATGCATCTTGTTGTAGCTACTCTAGGACAAAGGATAAGGGGCTGGCATAAACAGTAACACCTAACCACCATTTGGAGGACAGCTGTCTGGCCAACTGATTGTAAGAGGTCCATATTTGTTCCCAATCCCAAGAAAGGTGATCCAACAGAATGTGGAAACTATTGAACAATATCATTAATATCATGTACAAGCAAAATACTGCTGAAGAACATTCAAAAACTGCTAGAACAGTACGTAGATAGGGAACTGCCAGAAGTTCAAGCAGGATTTACAAGAGGTCGTGGCACCAAGGGTATCACTGCTGATGAATCCTGGCTGTAAGTAAAGAATACCATGAGGATTGTCTGTTTATACTTTATTTATTGACTATGCAAAGGCATTTGACTGTGTGGATCATAACAAGTTATGGATAACATTGAGAAGAGTGGGAATCCCAAAGCACTTAATTGTACTCATACAAAACCTATACCTAGACCAGGAGGCTGTTGTGTGAACAGAGCAAGGGAACACTACATGGTTTAAAATTAGGAAGGGAGTGTGTCAGGGTGATATTCTCTCTCCATACCTTTTCAGTCTGTATGCTGAGCAAATTATTTGAAAAGCTGCAATCGGTGAAGGTGGCAGCATCAGGATTGGAGGGAGACTCATCAATAACCTGTGTTATGCAAATGACACAACCTTGATTGCTGAAAGTGAGGAGGACTTGAAGTACTTGTTGCAGAAGGTCAAAGAATATAGCCTTCAATTTGGATTGCATTTCAGTGTCAAGAAAACAAAGATTCTTACCACTGGACCAATAGGCAACATCATGATAGGTGGAGAAAAGATTTAAAGTGTTAACTTCATCTTACTTGGATCCATAGTTAACACCCTTGTTACTAGCAATCAGGAAATCAAGAGTTGTATTTGCACTGGAAAAGTCTGTAGTTAGGGACCTCTCCTAAATATTGAGGAGTAATGATGTCAGTTGGAGGACTAAGGTGCTTCTGATTTAGGCAATGGTCATTCCAATCACTTGCTATGCAGCTGAGAGCTGGATGATGAATAAAGGATGCCAGAAGAATTGATGCCTTTGAGCTGTGGTGCTGGAGAAGAGCACTGAACATCCCATGGTCAGCCAAAAAAAAAAAAGCAAACATGTCTTGGAGAGGGTACAGCCAGAGTGCTCTTCAGAGGCAAAAATGATGGTTTGCTTCACATACTTCAAGCATGTTGCTATTAGGGACTACTCTTTGGAAAGGGATGTGATCTCAGAAAGGTAGAGGGTTGGCAATGGAAAGTAAAAGACCCTTGACCAGGTGGATTGACACAGTGACTGCTACAGTAGGCTCAAACATGTCAGGAAGTGTGAAGATGCCACAGGATAGGACAGGGTTCAGATCCGTGGTTCAAAGGGTCACTATGGGTCCAGATCTGTTGTCGATATGGGTCATATTCAACTCAGCGGCACCTGACAACCACAGCCACCAGCACCATTGCTGTCTTTAGACAGCATTTAGACACCATTGCTGTACCCTTAGAAAGCCTGAAGCTGGAACATTGAGTGCTGGAGTTAGGCCCCCATATGACCTAAAAGAATGTGGAAACAGATCCTTGGTAATATCTTCTCTTGTGACACTACTTGTCTTTTCTGGCCAAGCTTCTCTAGAACAGCCCTGCTCCCACCACACTCAGTAGGGAAAGTGTGTTGGCTCTGGGCGGTCTCAGCTTCTTTATCAGGAGGGGACTTTGACTTTTACTCCCCCTTCCCTTTTCTTTTAAGACAGCCAAAATATGTGCACTTCCTCCCATATTCGAGATTCTTCCTGTCAAATCCCTGAAGGCCGGGAACAAGACACTGGCCCCACCCTTTCCGGAGCTGAGGTACCTTAGCCTGGCCTACAACAAGGTGAATTTCTCCTTTTCTGCCTATTTCCTCAGGGATACAGATCCGAGGGCAGTGTGAAGACTGCTACAGCCTGACAGCTGAGTCTGTCATTTCAGTCCTACAGATAGGTGGGCTCAGAAAATCTGTGGGGAGCAAAGGGGCTGAAGGAAGTGCAGGACAAGGGTGTCCTTTCTATTTCAGCTATTTGTTTAGCATTTACTATTGGCTTTGTGCTAGGTATAGAAAAAGAGATTTAGCCTCTGTCTTTGTGGACCTTATAGCCAGCCTATAGGGAAGACTCCATAGGAAGGTTCTCAACAAATAATCAGAATATAAGAATATTTCGAGCCAGTTTTGCGGGTGTCTCCTTGCCGCGGAGTAGCGGGAGTAAGGTGCAAGCTGCAACGATCAGAATCATGGCAAGACAGGCTTTTAGAAGGTTTCTTCCCCTCTTTGACCGAGTATTGGTGGAACGGAGTGCAGCTGAAACTGTAACCAAAGGAGGCATTATGCTTCCAGAAAAATCTCAAGGAAAAGTATTGCAAGCAACAGTAGTAGCTGTTGGATCCGGATCTAAAGGAAAGGGTGGAGAAATTCAGCCTGTCAGTGTGAAGGTTGGAGACAAAGTTCTTCTTCCAGAATATGGGGGCACCAAAGTAGTTATAGATGACAAGGATTATTTCTTATTTAGAGATGGTGACATTCTTGGGAAGTATGTGGACTGAAATAAATTACTATTGAAATGGCATCATGTGAAGCTGCCCATTCCACTGAAGTTCATCTGAAATCTTCCATCATGTAAATAATCTCTATGTCTCTCTTTTGTAATAAACTAATGATATCCAAACTAAAAAAAAAAAAAAAAAAGAATGTTTCCAATTCGGAACTAAAACTCATTGCCATTGTTATTATGTCCTGTCAAGTCAGAGCCAACTCATAACTGACCCTCCAGAGGGTTTTCAGAGGTTGTAAATCACATGAAAATGCCCAGCTTTCTCTAGTAGAGTAGCTGGTAGATTTGAACCACCTCCTTTTGGGTTGGCAGCATAATTCTTTACCCACTAAGCCACCAGAGCTCCCTTCCCCCCCCCTTATGTACTGTCGAATCAGATCCGAATGGCACAGAAAGAGATTGCCTCTTCTTCTCCAGCAGAGCATCTGATGGATTCGAACTATATGCCTTTGGGATTGCAGCACAGCTTCTTGTCACTAGGCCACCAGAGCTCCCTCTTTTGGGGTGGAGAAGTACACAGCGTTTTGGAGCCCATATTAGATAGTCTAACCCAAGATTGGGGATTAAGGAAAGTTCCCTAGGAAGTGATGTTTTAATTGAGATTTGAATCAGTGAGATTAGTTCAGTGAAGAATGAGGGTAGTGTGAAGTGAGAATTAGTGTTCTAGTCTGAGAGAACAGCAAATGTAAAGTCCACAGGCAGATTTAACAGGGCAGGACAAGTGTTTGTCCTAAATTATTCTAGTATCTATGTTTAATTTTCTTTAAACCCCACTAATGGAAGTTGCTTAAGTCTGAAATAAAGGAAATTTTAAAAGGTATTTTCTCTTCTTTACATTCCTTCTAAAGCAAATAGTCAGTACAGCTAAATGACCCAAGTATAAAATAATGTTAAAATGAGATTCTAAAATTTACCTTAGGATAGAAGTCTGGTTTGGTCCAGTATGAATAAAGTTGCTATGATCATAAAGAAAAAAATGGCAAAGTAATGACTTAATTTTCCCCCCAAGGCATTGTACCACTTTTTGTTCCCAGCAGTATTATATGAGCGTTCCAGTTGCTCTTCATCTTTGCCAACCCTTGGTGTTATCAAATGTTTCAGTTTTAATCATTTTAATAAGGATGTATGATTTTATATTTTATATTGAGCATCTTTCCATGTGCTTGTTGGTGATCTCCTATGTTTGTTTTTATGAATGACCTATTGAAAATATTTGCCTATGGTTTATTGGCTTATTTCCTTTATTAAGACAGTAGAGTTCTTTATCTTGATACAAGTCTTTTTTTTTCAGTGATATGTATTACAAATATTTCTTCATTTTGTGACTTGCTTTTTCATATTGAAAGAATAATTTTCCATTTTTATTAAATCTAATTTATATTTTTCTTCTTTAGATGTTTCTGATTTTTGAATGCCGACTGTAATTTCCCAAAGATCACAAAGACTTTTTCCTATATTTTTTTCTTTTGCTTCTTTAGGTTTAAGCATCTGTGTGCTCCAGTACTATTAGTTAAAAACATTTTCTTTTCTCCATTGAATTGCCTTAGCATCTTTGTAACAAAAATTTACTATGTATCTTTCTGGACTGTAGATTCTATTGATCAGGAGATCTATTCTTTCACTAATACTACAAAACCTTGCACTCCACCATTCCAAGCATGATATCTCTTTCTGAGAAATAACCTCTCCTAACAATATGTCAGAAGTATGTGAGATGAAGCTTCATCATCTTTGCCTCTAACGAGCACTGTGGCTGTACTTTCACCAAGACTTATCTGTGTGTTCTTTTGGCAATCCATGGTACACTCAGCACTCTTCTCCAGCACCACAGCTCAAAGGCATCGATTCTTCTTCTGTCATCCTTATTCATTGTTCAGCTCTCAGATACATACCAAGTGAGGGAAGAGACCATGACCTGCGTCAGACACACCTTAGTCTTTAAACTAACATCATTGCTCCTCAGTACTTTGGAGAGGTCTCTGGCTGCAGACTTCCCAGTGTAACATGTCTTTTGATTTCCTGACCACTGCTACCAAGGTTGTTGATTGTAGAGCCAAATAAGAGAAAATAACTGACAATTTCTATCTTTTTTCCATCTATTATTAGCACAGTGGTGAGGATTTTTGTTTTCTTAATGATGAAATGCAATCCATATCGAAGATTGTAGTCTTTGATTTTTTGCAGCAAGTGTTTCAAGTCCTTCTTTTATCAAACAAAGTGTGTCATCTGCATAATACAGATTATTGATGAGTTTTGCTCCAATCCTGATGCCATATTCTTCTTCATAAAATTCAGGTTTCTGAGTGATTTGCTTTGCATACAGATTGAAGAGGTATGGAGAAAGAATGCAGTTCTAATGAAAACTTTTCTTGATTTTAAACTATGTTATGAGTCGCAAGTGACTCGACGACACATAATAACAACAGTGTTCCCTTAGTCTGCTCAGACAACAACTTCTTGGTCTAGGTATAGATTTCATATGAGCATAATTAAAAGTTCTGGGATTTTAATTATTCTCACTGTTTTCACATTAGTTTGTTATGATCCACAGCCAAATGTCTTTCATAGTCAATAAAACACAAATAGATATTCATCTAGTATATTTTCTAGGAGTGGCTCAAGCTATTTAGCCTGTGAGTGACTCACACATTTTTCTTTTCATTCTGGACCTCTCCTATACTTCAGATACGTCGATCCACTGCCTACTTATCATCACTGTTTGGAAGACCAAAGGTACCTCTAAAGGGTCCATATCCAAAGTAAATGAATAACATTTCCTTCCAAATCTAATGTTCTTCCATTGTTCCCTATTGTACTGAATAATTTCATTATCCATTTGATATTACTGTAGTCAAAACCTGGTTGCATCCTTGATAATTCTTATTTACACCACTACCAACCCCATATTTGTTTATCACGTCTTGTCATATTAATGCCTACATATTCCTAAGATACACTGATGAGTTCCCCAGGCACCAACATCTTTAACTTTGGTCTCGACCCACTTGCATCTCCAGCCTCTTTATATGTACTACACGCACTCTATATGCTTTTAGTCACACTAGCCTTTTTTCCTTTATTTTCAGCATCTTACCATGGAGTCTTTCACACACTGTTATCTTTGCATGGAACACTTTTCCTCTCTGCATTAATACTAGCTGCTGCAACAAACTTTAAAAGTTCATCACATATAATAGAGTTTATTTCTTATGTTCACTGAGTTCAGTGTGGATATTCTGCCTGGCAGGTGGCCTTCCACATGATTGTTCTGAGGCCAGGTCCCCTCTGCCTTCTGGTTCTACCATCCTGTAAGGTTGGATCAATCTATTGGTAATTAGATGGTCAGATTGAGGGATGGTGGTGAGAGAATTAGAGGCTTCTGCAGGCTTTACAGGGGCTGTACCTTGAAGTGGCGTTTATCATTTTTATCACATGACACGGAGGATAGAAGATAGAGTCTAGCTGTGTGCACAAAAGGTAGAGAAAATGGTTTAACAGATATATAGTTGTTTCTGACATTTTTCTCATTCTCTATACTTACACTCAGTGCTTTCAAGTCATAGCTGACCCTCCAGAGGGTTTTCAGAGGCTGCAAATGACATGTGAGAGGACTACCCATCTCTGCCCTTTGGAGCAGCTGGTGGAGTTGCACCGACTGCCTTTGAGTTAGTAGTCCAGCTCATCATTCCTGTCATCCTTCAGATCTCAGAAACACGCTCCTCTTCCTACCTCCGTTACCAGATCAAATAACCATGCTACCTTGTGCACTCTTTCTTTGTGTTACTTATCACAGTTGTAAACTGCTCTTCTGTGTATTATCTTTTCTTCATTGTTTCCCATTAGATAGTGCTCCTTGTTTTTTAATTAATATTTTATTTTAATTGTGATTTTTAACAAATGTTTCATTCACTGTTGTACATTTTATCCCCTTGCCCTGCCTTTATTCTCCCTCAGTTCACTTTTTTAAAATATTCCTTCATTGTTGCACAATTACCACCACCACCACCCCAGTCCTCTTTGCAATCATATATCTCTTATTCTGGGCTGTTGTCTTACATATAATGCTTAATCATATATTCCTTTTAGACAGTTCTTTCTTCCATTTGTTCCAGTGCAATGGTCATTATCTATCTACTCTTATCCTATTCTCCTCCCAATCCCCCCATGTCAGACCTGCTTTATTACAAGGACCACTATCCACTGCATAGCACTGCTGTTATAGTGCTCCTTGAAGGTAAGAATATATGTTCTGCACATTTGCAACAGAGTGGGTGGCACATGGTAGACTTCCAATTTGTTGATTGAATACACAAAACTGAAAGAGAACATTTACGTTCATTGCTTGTAGCAGCCTAGTGCTACCCAGTGTGGCACCAGAAGACATCAGTCTAAAGTGCGCTACCTCTTGAGAGAGCCCTCCATGGGCTCACATGTGACTCAGCATGACTTACCATGCCCAGGGGTCTGAGACCACTGCCCTACTCCTGGTCCCTCATCTGGCTCTGATCTCTTGCTGGAACAGGAACACTCTCTACAAAATAGCCTCTATATGTTCCAGCTACCCTACTCAGTAAGTATGTTTTCCGCCCTCCTGCCCCCTGCCATTATGGGCTGGATTCTCATTGTGAAGCAGCTTCTGAGGCCATATACCCTTTAAGTGTCCTTTACCACTTGTTATTAGGTCCGATCAAGTAGACCGATTCATAAAAACCCTCTGAACAACAGATCTGAACCTTGCCCTATCCTGTGCCATCCTCTCCATCTCTTGCCATGTTTGAACTCGTTGTTACAGTCACTGTGTTGGTCAGTCTCTTTGAGGGTTGTTCTCTCTTTCACTGACCCTCTGCAGCAATGGGTTCAAGTGTGTGAGAGATGAGGATGGCACAGATAGGACAGGGTTCAGATCTGTTGTTCATAGGGTCACTGTGAGTCGTACTTGACGGCACATATAACATTGACCTTCTGAGCATGATGTTTTTTCTGAGGGCCTGGCCCCTCCTGAAACATGTCCTAATATGGGAGACAGATTTTCCACATCCTTACCTCTAAAGAGCACTCGACTGGACTTCCTTCAAGACAGATGTGTTTGTTCTTTTAGCAGTTCTTAATATATCCAGCAGTCTTATCCAGCACTACAATTCAAAGGCATCAATTCTTCTTCGATCTTTCTTATTCATTGTCCAACTTTTCAATGCACAGGAAGCAATTGACAAGTTTGTGGAGTAGATCGGACCCACTTCGGTCGTTAACTAGCCTCCTTGCTCTTTAGCATTTTTGAGAGGCCTTTGACAGCTGATTTTTCCAGTGCAACACATCTTTTGATTTCTTGACTGCTGCCACCATCAGTGTTGATCTTACCACTGGCACCGATTATTCCTTAGATGGATAGGTTCTGCTTATGTCCTTTTCCCTGTCACACTCCTGGCCAGTGCCCAGGACACCACCTCAGTGAAGGGGACCATCTGTTGAAGACAGAGAGTATAGGGGTATATAGTGGCTTGAATTGTTGAATTGAGGATGGTGAAGGAAGCATCAAACAAAGTATAATTTGAGATAAAAATCAGTGTGCTGGCAAATTCCCAGACTCCTATGAGAGAAGTTTCATGGTGTAGACCATAGAGAGCTGTTTTGTTCGCTAAAAGGCTGCACCTCTCTGGCGGTTCTGTCCATCAGCCACTCCAAGGCAGCAGAGGATAGTCTCCTTTCATGAAGTTCACAGCCTCGAAAACCCACTTGACAGTCGGCTATGAGTTGGTTCTGACTCAACAGCAATGACTCTGACCCCTATTCTTTTGTTGTCAGCACCCCCGTGCTAAATGTAAGTTACATATTCAGTGTGAAGAAGGGGGAGTTAATTCTCAAACATGAAATTGCTTTTCGGACAGGAGAGGCAAGGCATTCCGGGGGAAAGTTTTGGAGCTACAGCACTCCTCAGCAGTGAGCCTATCTACAGCAGCACCCCGACCACTCTCACCCCAACTCTAGCCAGTACAGAGCCCTGCAGCGCGGGGCCTGGAAGCCCTGAAGAGCCAGAGGCCAGTGTCAACCCAAGACTCTCCCTTTGCATTTGTTGCAGATCTCGAAGGAGGATTCTCTGTTGGCGGTAGCTCTTTTCCCATCTCTCTGTGAGCTTGTCTTCCATAACAACCCTCTGGTGGCCCGTACACGAGGTACCGTGCCACACACCTGGCCCTGGCCTCCCCAGTGCCCAAGGGAGAGTGTGGCCACCCTCATCCCAGTCTCACTGGTGTCAGACCCTGGCGCTTCTTTGTCTCATGGGTGGAGGAGGACAGGAATGGAGAAGACAGCTGGCGCTGCTAAGCACCTGTTCAGTACCCTCCTGACAGCAGTCCGTAAGGAAGGCATGACTGCCCCCTTTTACAGAGAGGAAACTGGTGATCAGTGAGGTTTATGACCTGCCAAGGTCACAGAATATGAAAGAGACAGAGCTGATAAGGGAGGACAGAATTATCTGTAACCTGTAGAACTCTTTGAGTGACACACTGCCGTGTGAAACAGGTCTGGTATGACTTCTTCCTCCACTTCCCTGGTGGGGAGGAGTGTGGGACCCTGCTCAGACCTTCCTCTCCTGGACACTTGTTACAATTGATGCTCCATCAGCGGGAGGCATTGTGTGACATACAGCACTCTCCAGCATGGCAGAGGCCCTGGAGTGATGTCATGCAGTTCTAATCTCTGTTCTACACTTTCATGGTAACGTGGGTAAATGCCTTACACTTTTTGTCTCAGTTGCCTCCCCTATGAATGGGGATGATACAGGTACATAGTTCAGAGGGTTGCCATAGCAAGTTCCATTAATCCATGTAAAGCAATTTATAGTGCCTGACACATATTAGCTCCTTGGTAAGCAATTAATCTTATTCTTTTCCCCCATCATGGCACCAGGGGTCCCTCCATTGCTAAAGAGTTTCCTCCAGGAGCGGCTGGGGATCCACTTAATTCGAAGGAAGATAGTAAAGGCTAAGCATCCACATATTTTGATGCCTCGGAAAGACTCGCGGAAGGTAAAGCTTCCAAGCTCAGGACCCTCGACCCTAGAGAGTTGCTGCTGCTGTTGTTGTGTACCATCAAATCAGAACCAACTTATAGCTGACCACCCCCCACCCCCGCCAAGCAAGTTTTCAGAGGCTCTAAATCACAGAGGAGGAGTTTGCCCCTCTTTCTCCCTCAAAACAGCTGGTGGATTCAAACTGCCTGCCTTTGGGCAGCAGTGCAGCTCCTTACCAATAAGTAGAGTCCAATTTGACGTGTGCAGAGCAACCTAGAGATAGAACTACTCTAGTTCACAATGCCTGCAAGCCCTCTGTTCAGCTTGCTTTGTCTTCTCCTGTCTGTGAAATATAGATTTACCTGAGAAGGAACAAGGCAACCAGTCAGAGAATCCAAGTCACAGTAGGGAGGTGCCTTGGAGGTTGCTGAGTCTGACCTTCCCCTAGTTGTATTAAAAAACTGATATCCCGAGAAAGAGCTGTGAGGAGAGCACCAGGCTTGAAGTTGGAGGATCTGGTATGCACTTGGCTCCATCACCTTCCATAGCTACTTCATTTTAGGCAAGAGTTTTACCTCTCTGTGCCTCAAATTTCTCACCTGTAAAACCTCTCAGAGTGACCAGGGGACTGGATGAGACATCAGATGTGAAAATACACATTAAAGCCCAAAGCCTCGTGCATATTCAGGTTGTAGCCATCTGCAGTAATCATGAGTGCTGTATCAGGTCTAGCCTGAATAGCACTTCTTTATCCTGAAAGGAGCCTGCTTTCCTTGCCTTTAAGGATACCACAATGTATCTCAGACACTTCTCTCATCTGAAGAGTTTCAGAAATTCCTGTGAAAACTTCCTCCCCCTGAGCTTTTAGTCTCCCTGTAGCCTGAAGCTGAACTGGGTGATATCAATTCCAAAATTTAAATAGACATTCCCTCCACAGCTTGCTTCTGTCCAGGCAAGTTCTTATCTAGAACCTTTCAGAGGATTAGAGCAAGCATTTAAAACCAGAGACAGAAATAACACAAAAATAGAACTAGAAATTCTCTTCCCTCCTGTCTGTCACCCCTCTAAGAATCCTACTGTCTCCTTTCCCATCAGCCACTTGGGGAGATGGCCAACTCAGAGTGAGCCCCATGCCCTCTACAGAACTCCTTGCATATATGCTGTCCTCCAGGCCTCACACTTTGTGAGGTGGGCATGTGACAGATCAGGAAACAGAGTCAGGGAGGTGAAGTAACTAGTGAAAAATTCGTGTTTGGATCCTACATACTCCTCACCCCTATTGAGGATAAACACAATAATAGCCAAATGAGCTAAAAACCACCACTAATTTGGTCAAACATCTGCTAACCTTCAGTGCAGGGTAGACCAGAGAACATAACTCAGCTCTGAAGTCAGACTGACAGCACTTCCTATCCTGTGCTAGAACCTGGGCCCTGCATGTAGCAGCACGCTGACAGAGATGGGACTGGACCTGCAGAACAGATTCCTGGGTCCTTAGTCACTATCAGATGGACAATGAGGGCTGCATGCCCTCCTCTCATATGTAGGCATGGGTAGAAGTGAGGAATCTTCCAGAGCAGGCCTGGGCCCACCCTCCATGCCACTAAGAAGCTGTGTGAGTCCTTTGTTTCTGAGAACACAAATGGAAGAGAAAACAATCTGCATTTGATGCCCACTAACTCAGCCCACCAGTGAAACAAAGTCACTGTCAATTTCTGACAGATTAGACTATGCATTCTTCCCCTGGGAGGGAGCTGGGAACAGAGCAGTGGGATAAAGACCAGAGTACTTTCCAGCCCTCCTGCATCCAGGAGGAGGCACCCCAGACAGCCTACGGTTCTGTGAGTGGGGACAAGGAACGCCTTTTCCCCCCTCACCCCTCAGCTGGTAGAGGATAGTCATGGACACAAGCATGGGGCTGTTTGTCCTGTGTTGTGGGTTCGCAAAAAAAGAGTGAGTCCTTCAGGCTTCAAGGTCAAGTCTAAACAGATGTTACAGATTTTTTAAAAGGAAATAATTTATTTAAAAAACGCTTGTTTTTATAAAATTGTCATTCTTCATAATCGTTAGTTTGTGTAGCACATTTGTACAGGTCATCTTGTTGGAGAGAATTCTACAATCTAGGCCAGACTGGGACTTTCCCTCCCGATTCATGGTCATGAGATGGAAACACCTATTTTCCTAACTGCATGCTTTGGATCTTTCCACTACATTACACAGTCCATTTAAGTACAGATTCATATGGGCCATGTATCTTTGACAAAAAGAAAAAACCCAACAAAAAACAAACCTGAAAACACCTCGCAGGAAAGATAGAACTAAGTCAGGTGAGGGAAACTCAGTCACAGGCTCAGCATTTCACTTCTGAGCAACTGAGGCAAAGGAGGGTGATCATGGTGAGAGGATTTGCTGGTTAAGGTGACTGAACAGCTCAGCAGGAAGGAAGTTCTTTCCCTGGCCCCAAAATTTACAGATCTTTGTGCAAGGCCTGCATCCTAAAAAGGGCGTGGCGGCACCACCCTTCAGTAAATGCAGGCAGGTCCTTGAGGAATTGGAAGGGCACTGGGCTAAACAGAGCTCAGAGTGAGGTACACAGTGAGGTACTTCAGAGAGTCCACATGCCGTCTGAATTGCTCTGTGATCTTGGAAAAGTAATTTTGATTCTCTGAGCCTTGTTTCGTCAGCTTTAAAAATGAGGATAATTATTCACAAATAGTTTTGAGTGTGAAGAAAACAGTATACGTCATGCACATGGTGCAGTGCATTTGTCTAATAAGCTTGATTTCCCTCCTCACTTCTTTTATGAATCCTTTTCCAGCACTCTGACCGTTCTACCAGTTGGCCTTAGGCTGGTGAGAGACTCCTGGTTAGGGGACAAATCCAGCCCAACTTTTGTCTCATGACAGGTGAAAACCCAAATCCCAAAGGTGCCAAAACAGCCTTTGATGTCCCAGTACCCAGCGATCACAGTCGCATCTCCCTCACTGGATGTGCTGGAGCCAGAGGCGGAATCACCTGAAGAGCTGCCCACCGCCAGACGCACATCTATGGAGTCAGAGGGGTCCATTGAGGGCCTCGAGGGCCTTTCCACGCCCCACCGGAAGTTTGTGCCACTGCCTCCCATCTATTCCACCTCCACTGTGCATAGTGAGGAGACTATGTCCCACCCAAGTGATGCAGCCGGCCCCCTCAGCCCTGAGTGTCCATCAGATGAGGATGCCAAGAGCATTGAGTCCATCTTCCTGACGCAGGTGCCTGGATCCACCTTCGCTTGTCTACCCCTTCCTGTTCTGTGGGTTCATGGGCAGCCCTTCCTCAACTGCTGTGGGCAGCTGGGAGCAAGTGCAGGAGAGGTTTGAAAGCCAGAAAGAAGTGCCCCTGGCTTGGTTGTCAAGTTTATTTGGGGACATGATTCTGTGTCATAGGCAACAACTGAGATCTGACGAGGGTGTAGTTCTGACCACTTTTTTTGAAGGATTTGCTGTCACCTCTCCCTATGTGCTTAATGTCACCCCATTTCTGATGCTCCATCTGGAGTTTGGGAGCACAGGTAGATCAGACGTGGGCTGTGCCCTTCAGGTGTTGTCATTCAAACGATGTGCATGGGTGGGAACAATATGTGGAGTCAGTGTTGAGAGTAAGGATCATCCAGGAGCTTAGAGCCTCAAGGAGGGGGATATTTCTACCCTAGTCTAGAGAGCTTCCTGAAGGAGGTTCAGATGCCCCAAGCTTTGTTGGCTGAGTGGGAGTTAATGAAGAGAAGCTATGGGCAGCAAGCTCATTCTGGGTAGAACATGCAGCTGGCAGTACAGGGTACAGAGGAGGGAGATTAAGATGGTGTGTGCAGGAACCACATATTCTTCAGTGTCAGGGAACAGGGGCTGACGTGTAGGGAGAGGGGACTTTAATGCTGGAGGAATTGGCAGGAGCCCCCTTGAACTTCATTACTGCACAGCCCCTCACTGATTGCTCTGCCTCCAGTCTTGCCCACTGCCAGGTCTTTCCTCGAGGTAGATCCATCCTACACATTTGTATCTAACACTCTTTCTGGGTATTCATATATATCTCACCAATGATTTACAGTGAGACAGAAATTCATACAGTGTAAAAGTACCTGTATGCACTCTCTCAGGATCTTTTTGAAACATGCAGTGTAAACATATACATTTTAAGAGTAAACAACTAAAAGCACAACATAGGATCTTAAAAAATTCTGAGAAGCCATTTAAGGTACAACAATTGGGTGTTTACTTATCTAGAAAAAGACCAGTGAAGAAAATCAAGAATGCAGGGAAACAATTAGTCCAGGACTAATTGGACTGTGTGAACCCCACCCCCATGACCCTGGAGACCAGAACTAGATGGTGATCAAGCTACCATTGCCTGTAACTCTCAAAGGCAACATAATAGGTGACCCTGGATAGAGTAGGGAAAAAAATTTAACTCAAACAAAACAAAAACCAAGCTTACTAATCTACTAGAGATACATAGAACCTCTGAGACTATGAACTTTAGTCATCCTTAATTCTTGAAGCCTCACCCCCAAGCTTAACTTCCAGTCAAACAACAGATAAGTGTATAAGATGAACTGTAACACCAGAGATACACAGTCCCTAGAACAACCTATGAGACCAAAGGAGAGCATCTGTCCAGAGATGAAACTTCAAGTGGCAGGAAAAGATAGGAAAAAAGCACAAACAGAAATGGGAGACTCAGTCAGTAATAAGAGGGTTGTTATATTGCAGGGATTGTAAACAATGTCATAAATCAATGTATGAATGAACTGTTACATAGAATACCAGTTTGCCTTGTAAACTTTTACCCAAATCACAATAAAAGTTAAAGAAAAATAGGCTATTAATAGAGTTGGATGAAAGGAAAGATAGGCAGTAATGGAAATAAAGCTATGAGTAATCCTGTTGCAGAAATACATACATCGTCCTGCACCATTTTTCTAGAAACAGATGTGTTTTACCAAAATGCCATTCCGAGCATGCTAGCAGCCAGAGCTATGTAGTCACCATGCCATTTACATTAGAGGGGAAAGTGGTGGTTGTTTGGTTGGTTTGGGTTTTTTGTTTGCTTGGTTTTGGAAAGTGGTTTTTATTTTGTTTCTGTTTCTTAACTCCCCAGGCTAGAGCAATGCAATGTTGAAAAGATGTGTCAGAGAGCAGACATCCTGATCTTAGGAAGTGAATTTTCATCACTATTTAGTATGTTAGCATGGGTTTTTTTAAAAACAACTTTTATCAGGCTGCAGAAGTTTCTGTTCCTCATTGAGTTGGGGAGGGTGGTTTTGGTTGTTTTCTCATGAAGGGATGTTTGTCAAATGTCTTTTCTGCGTCCGTTGAGCTGATGATGCACTTTTGTCCTTTCTTCCATTGCTATGGTATATGATATTAATAGATTTTCACATGTTAAACCAGCTTTTCACTCCAGGGCTAAATCTCAGGCTTGCTTTATATGTGTCCCTAGACCTGATATGCTAGTTATTTTGCATTTATATTCATTAGGTATTTGACCTTTATTTTTCCATTTTTGTGATGTTATCTTGGGTTTGGGGAATAACTAAAAGGCATTTATGTATTTTTTGGTCTCACAGGCTAAGTTGGGAATTGTTGGGTCCTGTTCTATTCTGGAGAGAGAATTTATGAGAAGTTGGTGTTAATTCTTTAAACATGTGGTCTCTAGTGAAGCCATCTGGACCTGAACTTTTATTTGTAGGAAGTTTTAAAGTTATTATATTTATTTACTTGTTACAGTCCTATGCAAACTTTCTATTTCTTCCTTTTTGTTATTGTTAGGTGCCATTGAGTCAAACACGACTTATAGCAACCGCATGAATGATGGATCTGAACCTTCCCCTATCCTGTGCCATCTTCATCATCTTTGACATACTCAAGCCTGTTGTTACAGTCGCTCTGCTGATCCATCTCACTGAGGGCCTTCCTTTCTTTCCTTGACCCTCTCTTTCCAACCATGATGTCTTTCTCTAAGGACTAACCCCTCCTAATAATATGCCAGAGTAGTTGAGATGAAGTTTCACCATCCTTGCCTCCAAAGAGCACCCTGGTTGCACTTTCTCCAAGACAGACTTGTTTGTTCTTTTGTCAGTCTATGGGATATCCTCTTCTCTTCTCCCCTAACAAAACTCAAAGACATCAATTCTTCTATGATCTTATTCATTGTCTAACTTTGAGTATATAGCAAGTAATTGAAAAGGCCCTGGCTTGAATCAGGTGCATCTAACTAAGTCTTTAAACTGACCTAGTTGCTGCTTAGCACTTTGGAGCGATCCTTGGCAGCAGATTTTCCCAATACAATGTGTCTTGATTTCCTGACTGCTGGTACCAAGGAAGTTGATTGTGGATGTAAGTAAAATGAGATTGTTGACAATTTTAATCTTTTCTCCATTTATTATGATATTGCCTATTGGCCCAGTTGTGAGGGGTTTTATTTTATTGATGCTGAGATACAATCCATACTGAAGGCTGATGTAATCTATATTGAAGGCTATAGTCTTTGATTTTATGCAGCAGCTGCTTCAAATCCTCCTTTGTTCCATCAAGCAAGGCTGTGTCAATCTGAATAACACAGTTTGTTGGTGAGGCTACATTCTTTTTCATAAAGTCCAGCTTCTCAAATTATTTGCTCAGCATTCAGATTGAATAGATATGGGAAAGGATACAGCGTTGATGCACACCTTTCCTGATTTTAAACCATGCTGTGTTCCTGCGCTCTGTTCAGACAACAGTTTCTTCATCTAGGTATAAGTTTTACATAAGCACAATTAAGTGTTCTGGAATTCCCAGTCTTCTCATGGTAGCCATAATTTGTTATTATCCACACAAATGCCTTTGCATAGTCGACAGAACACAAGGAAACATCATTCCGGTATGCTGTGCTTTCACTTAAGATCCATCTGACATCAGTGATGATATCCCTGATGTCACAGCCTCTTCTCAGTCCAGTTTGAATTTCTGGTAGTTTTCAGTCAATGTATTGTTCAAGCCATTTCTGGATAATCTTCAGCAAGATTTTGCATACATGTGATATTAGTGAATACTGTTCAGTAATTTTCAAGTTCTGTTACATCACCATTTCTGGGAATGGGAGCAAATACAGACCTCTTCCAATTCGTTGGCCAAATTTCTGTCTTCCAAATTTCTTGGTGTATGTTGGTGAACATGTCCCATGCTGAATCTATTTGTTGAAACATGTCTGTTGGTATACCATCAGTTCCTGGGGCCTTGTTGTTTTGCCACAGTGTCTTCATTGAACTTTGAATTTCATCTTTCATTACCATTGGCTCTTGATCATATGCTAGTTCCTTAAATGGTTCTATGTCAGCCAAACCTTTTTGGTAGAGTGACTCTGTGCACTCCTTCTGTCTTCTTTTGATGCTTCTTGGGTCATTCAAGATACTGACTATAGGGGGAGCTCTGGTGGCCTAGTGGCAAGGAGCTGCAACTACAATCCCAGAGGCACATGGTTCGAATCCACCAGATGCTCTGCCGGGAAAAGGAGGGACAATCTCCTCCTGTACCAGTCAGATCTGATTTGATGGTACGCTCACACAAAAATTAAAAAAAAAAAAAAAGATACTGACTATAGCATTCATCAGGCTTGCAATTCAAGGTCTGATTTTTTTTTTCAGTTCTTGCAACTTAGGAAATGCTGAGTGAGTTGTTCTCTATTGATTTACTAACTCCAGCCCTCTGCATACTTTATTTTTCTTTATCTTCTTGAGGTACTGTTAGAAATTTTCTGTTCATCTCTTTTACTTTGACATTTCTTCTCTTTGTTTTTGTCTTCTTGACATTCTAATACCATTTTGATCTTTTCTTTCTCCCCTGTCTTGGGATGTGAAGGTCGCCGAGGAAGGACAGAACCCAGAGAACTCAGAGAGATAGTTTATTGAAGAGAAACTGCCAGGCTGGCTCCCAAACAGAAGACCAGCCCCCACTAAGGGTTAGAGAGGGATTTTGTACTTTCTTACATGGGAACTGGGAAAGGGATGCATACCGATGGTTCCTTCAAGATAGGGAAATGGTCTGGGGTCTCAGATAACTATTCCTGGGAAAATGGGGGTAGGGTAGTTTCACAGAGAGAAAAATCACGACTGCTGTTTTCCTGTTATTGGATTCTCTCAGTAGCCATTCTGGAAGAGGAAGGAAAGGCCTCTGCAGTCCTAATAGGATGATCTTTTGCTTTCTTCATGAATAATTTCTTTAATGGTATACCACACTCA